AAGATGGAATTAATCCATTAACACTAAAAATTAACAATGATAATAATACAATTAATTCTATCACATTACAAAATACTAATAAAGTAGTAATATCAAACACACAATCTACAATTAATTTAGGAAATGTTATTATTGAGAATAGTCAATTATATCTTGATAGTGGAATCTATGAACTCAATGAAAAAACAATTAATTTCCTTGTTAAATCAAATGATTTTATGTTAGTTATGGGACCAAGTACACAAATTAATAGTAACACTCTTGAAGTAAAAACATTGAATTTCAATATTAAAATTGAAAAAGAATTAGAAGGTCCAATATACTTATTAAGAACATCTTATCAAAACTTTATTAGTAGATTTGGAGTTAAATTTACAATCACATCCAATAATAATCATCTTAAAGGACAAGCATTGAATTCAATAGATTCAAAATATGAACTAACACAAGTCTGTCGTATTTATGTTGCATTAGTACCAAAAGGATACACAATAACTGAATGTCCAAAAGATCCATGTGGAACAAATGAAGCAGGTGTTTTTTCACAAGTAACCAATGGAGAAGTACCAAAATGGGCTATTGCAGTTATAGTAGTTGTTGGACTTATTATCATTATCGCTTTAATACTCTTGGTCGCTTTTATTCTTTATGCCAAGTTGGTCTTATTAAAGAACAGAAAGAACAATAAAGTTTTTGATGATACTGAGAATGTCTTTTGCCAAACTCCAGAAGAAACAACTGAACATGAAGAGTCTCAAAATGAAACCGAATCTTCAGAAACTTCTGGAAGTGGAAGTGATGGAAACTCAAGGACTAGTCAAGTTTCATCAGTAAAAGAAGTAAAGCTTTCCCAAAGCGATGAGTTTAGCAGTGAAGAGTCATCTGGTAATAAACAATCAGACAAAAACGATGATTCTTCTGAGAATGAAGAATCACAAAAAAGTGATAATCCAACGAAAGACTAACTTCTCAACTCCGATAAATGCCCTGAAAAGGGTTCATTCAATAAGAAAAATATTTGTTGATTCTTTTATTTTTTATTAGTAATGTAAAACATTCTTTCAGTTCAAAATAAACTGCCAAAAAACTAATAAAAATTTGAATTTTAGGATGAATTGGTTTTTGAATTCCAAAAAGTTCAAAATGAACTGATGAATCTTTAAAACAATAATTAAGTATAATACCCATGAATGAGATAGTTGAAGAGAAGATTCCCAGTAAAGTTGATTTTGATAAATTACTCTTTTCAAGAAGACACAATCTACTTGAAGCAGTAGTGAGAACTGTTTGTTTCATTTTATCTTGAAACCAATTTATTTTTTTCAAAAATTGTTTTCTTTTTAAATTAAAAGAAAAAAGATATTTATTAAAAAATAGCTTGTCACACAACAACGACAAAATAGAAGTGCTGAATATGCCCGAATTATTTCTGATTATTTTAAAGCACATGGAAGATTTATGGAATTAATTACATGGGCAATTGATATTGACTTTCTTAGTACTGATACATTAATGATTGACTCGAGTTCATTCCAATATTCTACATTTTTCATTCCATTTTATAATCAATTTGTACGTTATTATTTTAAAAATTATTTACTTGATACCTTTGAACCAATTATCGATGGATTATCTACTGGAGGTGATTATAGTGAAGAGTTTAAAATCGCTATGAATTTCCAATCTAAAGAAATTACTACTTCAGAAGATATTGCAGCTTATCAACAATCTCTTGACACAATAACAAAAATATCTCAAACTTTAAATGAAGATATGATGAAAAATGCACAATATTTACCTGATTTTGTTAGAATGTTCTTTAATCGATTCTTTACACTATTAAGAGAAGGAGATATAGAAGATGTTGTAATAGAAAAAATATTTAATGAATTATTCTTTACATATACTATTTGTCAAAATGTAAATGATCCATTTCTTATGATGTATGATGATGAAAAAAGAACTCAATTAGTACCTGTGTTATATAAATTAGAATTTGTTGCATTAGTCATTCAAAATTTGTACACTAATACTTCTTTATGTGAAGGTTTTCTTATTGATCTTCAACAAACTATTAGAAAATTCAATGGATTAAATATTGGAGAAAAGATGTTTAAATACATGGACAGTCATCCTGCAACAGTTAAAGAAGAAGAAGAAAGTGAAGAAGAAAAAGAACGTGCATTCAATAATTTATTAGATGCAATTAGAAATAATATTCAAGGAATATTAGATTTATTGCCAGGTAATTTAAGTAATCAATTATTAGAAGCAATTAAATTAGAGAAACACGTTTATGACGATTACCAAATCTATCATGCTACAATGGATACAATCAATACATTTACTCAAGCATATAATGCTAAAATAAACAAATTAGATACAGAAAATATATCACTTAAAAATGAATATGATAAGTTGTTTAAAGAACAACAAGATTTAATTCAACAACTAGATGCCTTAGAACGAAAATTAGGTCAGGAAGATCTTGAAAAGTTATCATCATGTTTAGATGATGAATTAATTTATGGGGATGAATTTAATCTTATTGAACACTCTACTTCTAAT